CTATATACACTAATATGATATGATTACTCTACTTTCGAGAGTGAGTGACTGTCCATCGAGTCTCAACACTGATCTCGTTGTTCTTCATCTCAGAAGATCCAACAGTCAGGTTCTTCTCCGACCCTGACTCATCAGGGAATCCTGCAACAGCATAACCGTGCTGCAGCTTATCATTCGGCCTGTAATCATCCATCTCCCAGGTCGACAAGTTTGGGTCTCGAGCGATTTCAGGCTGGGTGCTGGCGGCACCTGATCGGCTGGCGTCCCTGAATCCTGTTGACCGTTCGGTAGAGTACTCATCCAATCGAGACCCCCCCATTCGCTTCTTGTACTTGGCGTAGAAAGGTCGCAGCATGGGAATGCTGACGCAGAGGATGGCCAGGTTAGGCTCGAGGATGAAGAGGAAGATGGTGGTGGGCATGGTTCCTGTAACATTGTTGTTGAGATCGACGGTTGAGATGTAGATGAGTCGGAAGACAGCACAGACAACGCAACTGTTCGAGTCAGTATATACTTCTTACATCAAGAGTGAAGAGACCTACGCAAGACCCAATGCGAAACAAGAGGTGATACCAATCTTCTCCGCACGGCGTGTCTTCAAGTTCCAAACGCTATGCATAGGAAGCGCCATAATGATCAAGTCTCCAATAGCGTTGGTAGCGATCAAGGATTGAATCATGGGGATGTACGCTCCACACTTTCCTTGAGCAGTCCACTGAGCAGAGACTGGGTTGCACAGGAAGATACAAGCACAGAGATAGGCGATGAGCCACATGCCGACAAAGACGAGGGCAGCCTTGGATGACTTTTGCATGAAGCTTGTTGGGAAGACTCGGATGAAGAAGGCCAACATGCTCGCTTTGACGGAGGCGAGAAGGGTGACATAAATGGCTTGCATGCAGAATGTCAACTTAAGGATGAAAGGAATATTCGCGGCGACTGGATCGAAGAGTTAGTAAACGATACTGGCGTAGCGCAGAGGAAGATGATCGGTAGTCGACTGCGGGCGAGGGAACGCACGCTCAGGGTGTTTCGCTAATTCGTAACCATTTCCAACAGGTGCAAAAAGTCCTTGACAACACAACATCGCCACGCCCAGCGGCTGCAATCACAGTCAGTAATGGCCGACCTCAGCCAGAGATAAGTCACCAACCGTTGCGAAAATAACGAATCCATCATCCCATCCAAGCCCAGGTCCCATAAGTCTTCCAATGACCCGCAGAGTGACGACGATCAGAACCAACAACACGATCAAACAATTGATGACAAGTTCGGCTTTGACATAACCCAATATGGGCATGTAAACCTGCGGTGTCGATATCACCTCAACTGCTTCCGCCGACATGATGGGAAGCACTCAAAGCGAAACAAATACGCCGAACAAGAGAAATTCACAATACAGGGAGGAACTAAAAGGAACCCATTCTTCCTTATATAAACAGGAACCATAAGCAGGTCATGTCGATCACTTTACTCCAAGCGAACGGCTTGGGAAAAAAGGACCTGCATTAGCTGGGGGTTCTTTAACGGAAACTTGGCCCAAATGAGACTGGTTTGTTACAGATGACTGAGACAAGACATACGAGTCTGCACTTGGCTGTGGTCTCCTTACCTATTCGAGTGCAAAGGCTCCGCTGCGTGAAGGATAACCCTGGGATCCTTGGGGGCAACGGCCTTGGAAAGATGCAGTGACGAGGCAAGGAGATCCTTGACAGGGCCCTTTAGCCAGCGCGGATGACGGATCCGTGGCGAACGGGACTTGGCGCGGCAATGGGGGGGAGGAGCCTCAATGCTGGGTCTTGATACACTCAGGGGGGATGGATTGGATGCTTCGGTTGGCGTTGTATATCCGAGCCTCACGTGGGAGGCTCATTTGCGACCCAATGGAAGAAAAAGACGATACGTAAAATAACATCTTGGCATCCAGAATATTGGTGCAGGAACAGGCGAACGAACCGAAGTTGCCGCATGAAACATTTTGATTACAGACTACTCCACTATCAAAGACACTTTCTCGACTCCCGCAGCCGTAACATCGTAAACGGGTCGAATGAAAAGCCGGGAAAGTGCCGGGTTTCTAGTGCTTCCATGGCGAAAAACCACAGTGTCAGGGCTGAAGAACAAGCTCACCGTCTTGTCTCGAAGAGAACTGGCCAGCTGACCTAAACATTATAAAACAAAGTCTTATAGGGCTAAGATCATCCGAGGGCTTGAGAACAGACAATGCGGAGAAAAGCAAAAAAACGGCCCTCCCGAGATAATAAAGAGAGAAAGACTCAAGAAATGGTCGACTGAAATTACTCGCCAAGAATTTAGAAACAGCGGAGTATTTCTGGGGCCCGTCCCGTCTCGTTCATTGACCACTTGGTGAACAATCCGCCGTCAAGCGCCTCCATACATCCCAGTGTTCCCCATATATAACCCACATGGAATTCAAAACGAGATTTTAGCCTGCATCCTGAAAATATCCTTCGGAGAACGTTAGCCTACTGTAGAAAATAATCTGCTCACTGTCCAAACGGATCATGTTTTATCCCCTGGATTGAGTGACGATCTTGCACAAGAAGAGCGCAGTTCGCCGATGCTCGAGCACAATGAGAGAAAAAAAACCGCACTGACTCGACACTAGGGGAAACAAATACAGGACTGCAAGATAAGCTTCCCGTGCTGCCCGTCGATGGTTTGGCACAAGTCTAACGGTCGCAAAACGCCTTTTTCACATATGGGAATTAATTTTGAGTTTCGGAAATATCGATCGAAACGTTGACGTGCTTCTGGATGATACCGTAAACCCTTCTATCACATCACATCCTTCCTTGTCACAGCAACCCCCCGTTTTTCCTTGCCACGCCACGTTATGGCTGCCCACAATCCAGGTTGTCGGTGCCCTTACTCAATGTCCCCGTCGCATGGACGCTGCCATGCATGAAAGGAGGTCTCAAGGGTCCTCCCTGCTAGAACGCTTCGTCGGAAATGCAACCCTCATGCCCCCCGGAGACCGCCACCGTAAAGGTTTAGGCCAAGACCGCACGGCAACGAAGCTTTTTTAATCACGGCAAACTCGCGTCGTCCTTATAAAGTATGGTTTGGCTGTATTTGACTGGACGGAACTAGGTTTAAGAAGCAACGTTTTTCGTAAAACCAGACCAGCATACCACTATCTCCACCAAACCGTCAGCAACTATACCCACGAAACAAAACATTTTTCTTTTAAACTTTCCCACACATCATCATGACATCCTCATACACCACCAAGCAATGGGTCCTCGCCAACAAGCCTGCAGGGGAGCCTGTCCTGTCTGGCCCAGACGCTACCTGGAAGCTGCAGACCGTCACACTGCCTGAGCTGAAGGATGGCCAGATCCTCGCCAAAGTCCAGTATTTCTCCAACGACACTGGTCTAAGGAACTTTATCCAGAGCACCGTCGCGCCTGAGCGCTTCTACGTGCCTACAGTACCCCTCGGTTCACCCATGCGATCCGGCATCATCGCTGAGGTAGTCGAGTCCAAGTCGGACAAGTTCAAGGTCGGTGATCTCTGCATGGATTTCCACCTGGGCACCTGGAGCGAATATGTCATCCTGGAAGCCGAAAACTCCCAGGCCCTCGCGCCCCTGCCCAACGGCCTGCCCACCACTCACTTCCTTGGTGCGTTTGGCGCCTCTGGTCTTGCCGCGTATACCGGCTTGTACTATGCCGGTGAGGCTAAGCCCGAGCACACTATTGTCATCTCAGCGGCTGCTGGCGCTACTGGCTCTATGGCTGTTCAGATCGCCTCCAAGATCCTTGGCGCTAAGCGAGTCATTGGTATCACCGGCTCTGACGAGAAGTGCGAGTGGGTGAAGAGCATCGGTGCCCACGAGTGTCTCAACTACAAGAGCCCTACATTCCTTGAGGATCTCAAGGCTGCTACTCCCGACGAGGTCGATGTGTACTTCGACAACGTCGGCGGTGACATCCTCGACGCCATGCTGACCCGCGTTAAGAAGCACGGCCACATCGCTGTCTGCGGTGCCGTCAGCGGATATAACTCTGACGAGCCCATGGCTCTCAAGAACTGGTTCGAGCTTATCTCCTGCAGGATCACCATCCGCGGCTTCATTATGCTCGATTATATGGACAAGGTGCCCGCCATTCTTGGCGAGCTTATTGGCGCCACTGCCGATGGTCGCATCAAGCTCGAGGCTGCTGAGACAGTTATTGAGGCGCCTATTGAGCAGCAGCCTGAGGTTTGGATGAAGCTGTTCAGCGGTGTCAACCAGGGCAAGCTCCTCACTAAGCTCATCATTTGAGAAGCTTGGGTGGATAAAAATAAATAGTTGATGAATTTAGGCGGGCATTTGCATACTAGCGTTGCCATTAAATATAAACTGGCTTACAATACTTGGCCATTTCTGAATCTTACTGTGCTATTAATTATGAAAATGCTCCTTCATTTGACAGCAGCGCTTGGCGCTTCAAAGTGTGTCATGGTACTCAAGCTTTTCTTCCACCGTTGACCTTAAATTTCACTGGCGACAAGGCGCTGTAATCCAGTGTTTTCATCAGCAGGGATTGGCTGGTCATGCACTGCACCCCAGCTTTGTGTACTGACAGAGGGATTCAACTCTCTGCGTTACTGTGGACCATCCCCGCCTGTTCATGAAATCTGGAAGAGGATTCAACTCCTTGCGTTTTGTGCCTGGATTAGGAAGGTCAGATTGTCTGGTGGATTTGTTACATTAGATTGTTGAAAGTTGAGTGTTCTGGAGGATTGTGAAGCCTGTCGCCACTTACCCTGAAGACGACCCTCAACAATTACGAGATTTTGTAACTTGTAGGGGTGCGATGCAGGGCAGCAGGCGATAATTCTGTCCTTTCCTCTCTCAATTGTAATGCTTGGTTGCTGCGATTAACATGTTGCCATCTGATCGGAGCTTTGGTCACATAGGAACCGCTCATCAATTGACATTGAAGCGATTCATACCCCGCACTTTGACATGAAATTGACAAGATTGACCACAAAGGCGTGCCAAGACCTGTAAGCAATGAACAGTGACGTGTGTCAATTGACCCCTCGGCCTTGCATTCCTCACTGATAAGATGTGGACAGTGTCAGCAGCATTTCGCCTATCTTACTCCTTAATCAAGCCCTATCTAGCGACAACTATGACAATCCCCGAGTCAAACGTCACCATTGAGCCAGGATATCGTCCTGGCTTGCTAGCCAGATGTCTTGAGATGCACATAGCCTACTACCATCCATACAACTCCTGGGGTCTTGCGTTCGAAACCTCCCTCGCCAAAAGCTGGGCCGACCTCATCCAAAGACTCACCAATCCCCGCAACCAAATTTTCGCAGCAGTTCAGTCAACACCCTCCGACAATTCCGCCGACTTCACTCAAAAGATTGTGGGGACTATCTTGATCGACGCAGAGCACCTTCAACAGCCCAACACGGCTCAAATACGTGGCTTCATCGTTGATGAGCGAGCTCGTGGGCTTGGAGTAGGGAAGCGCTTGATGGCGGCAGCGATGGATTTTATCGAGCAGCAGAAGTTCGACAAAGTTACGCTTTTTACATCGAATACCCAGGAAGCTTCCTTGTATCTTTATAAGAAGGCGGGCTTTGTCGTGGTGAAGGACGAGCAAAAGATTCTGTGGGATGTGCCGATGAATGAGTTGCAGCTTGATTGGACACGACCATCTGTCACAACGCAAGGAGTCGCTGAGCAAGGTGCAAATGGACTTTACGAAAAGTGATCTATAGAGGAAAGAAAGTATATAAAAAACAGAAACCCCCACAAACTACTAGACGATCCCAAGATTGACATCTCTTTTACGACCTTGAACCCAATTGCCTGGATGGGACATGTACAGTTGAACCTTGTCCCAATGCTGAACCAACCGAGCAACCAAAGAAACAAGAAGTATCAGCATGGGCGTCAACAAAAAGAACGAGAGCTTGGTAGGTCCCAAAAAGTCAGGGATTGCTTCCTCCTGCATAGAGAGGATTGCCGCCGCAAGGGTAATGGGCGACACAACCTGCCAAGGTGAATCAGCACATTTACACGCACATCGTACGTGATAAACACACGTAGAGTAGAAAGCAGCTGAGAACTTGTGTACTTTCAGCAACTTGGGCCTGCATGCGGGAAATCCGGTATTGTTCGTCGATGTTGTGGAGATTTAGCTATGTTGGTGTGAGTGTCGTCCCGTGTCATTGGGGACTGCCTTACTGTTCTTTCGTGCTCGTCACAAAGCGTGCGGATATTGTATAATTCCTTTAAGCAGTTCCTTGCTTCTGCGAAAGTCTGCTCAATAGACACCATTGATTGACGTCCATAGCGTGTTTGCATATGGTCCGGATAAGTGAAGTTATCCCAGCAGTCGATGGTTGTCTCCAAGCACACGACCAGCTCGGTCAACTTGCGTCTTGCATGCCGAAGCCATGCCAACGGCTGTCGGGATTCTTTGCTAGCCAATGCAAAGTCAAACTCATCGACCTGCGCAAGAATTAGTTGTGTTCGAAATCCGGAGCATTGGAGTTATTACATATGTTTCCACTCTCTCTTTAAATCTTTGTGCTGTGTTCATCCATTCGTCCTTGAAAACAACTAGTTGGTGTTGAAGAGAGATCAGGAAGTAGTCGTCGGGATTTAAGATCGGCATATCAGCATCGTGTTTTCCGGTGGTAAAAGGGTCGACCTGCATGCCTCTGTCACAATAATCTTCAACGCATTGCCTCTCATCTTCAGATTGAAAGTATGTATCGACGAAACAATAGCCAGTCCAAATTCCGTCGTCCATTGGCGTAATGCATACTGCAATTTGTGCTTGACAAAGGTAGTCGATCGTGGGGCATGTCGGAGAATTGCCTCGAAGACAGCTCATATTATGAATCTTTCTCAGGGGACTACCATCTCGTCTGAACCGTATGTCTCGTGGCTCATGTTGGGTCAATTTCCATGAGTAGAAAGGCAAATGGAATGAGAGCTCATATGTGACAAGACCTTGTGGCTATATATGGAATAAGTTAAATTAATGGAGCATTTTACATGGTGCGTCACGCTTACCTTGGACAGGACTCCTATATAAGGCTGAAAAGAAACATATGAGTATAGAAAGTGTACTAAAGCATTCCTTTGATACCCAGGAGCCGTTGCCATTACACTGACCAATGCATGGCTATCTGGGTTCATAATAAAGCTAGAGTTATATCAGCATGGAAGTTTCGAAAGACGGTAGAGGCTTCTAGAAGTTCTTACACCAGTCTACGGTCTGTGTTAGGCTTTTTGAAACCCCCGTTAGATGGCGGCTCGTGGAATCTCTAATATCTCAATTACCACTGATGCTCAATTTGGGAAGCGGAGAGGTCTACCTTTTCCACGAGTCTAATATACATTCCGTGGGAAGTCAGAGGCTTCCGGTCGCCATTGCTGGTCGAAACTATGCCGTTACTCGTTCTATCATCAATAAGACATGACTTTCTGGATGAGATATTGGAGCTGTTGGACTGTAGTTCTTGAAGCTCGTTTGAGTGACAGAAATGGTTGACCACTTCGGCTTGATACCTACGTCTGGGCTCCTTGCCACCGTTGGTCATGAACCAACCAACCAAGCTTTTGGCCCCAATCTTTTCAGGATCAGCGTATATATCATTCAAAATCTTAAGCATTCCTTCCGTAAGCTCCGGGCTTTGTTGAAGATTCCTATTGTCTTTGACTCTCTCAGACTCTGCAGCACTTTTAGCGAGAATCTGATTATTTATATAGTCTACCAGCTGCGCCAGCTTATCATGACTTCTCACTTTTCTTTTTAAGGGGCCGTGCCTATGTCTCTTTGTGGTCGTTTTGTTGCTCATTATGATCCTAAGAAACTCCTTAGTAATTTTATTATTATAAATGATTAATAAATGATTCGCCTTAATACCAACCCATAAATTATTTTCCGAAGGGGGAAAGATGAGAGAATGGTTGGTAGTACAAGGCTCGACTATGAATCTCCAAAAGTTCAGATATGTGATAATACGGGGGGTGGACACAACTCTTATATAGGTAGCTAGGCCACTATCAAGGCGACACAACATATTAGGCAGAAAAAGGTAGAGTCTTCATTCGTGGAACTTTACAGGTATACAGGTGTAACATGGATAATTTCCATTATGGTTACATTAGACGATATATTAGACGACAGGCAGTGTCACACGATGACATGATACGACATGTATAAAATTGAACCCAGACCGTACAATACTTGGCTTCACCATTAATACGTAATTTTCGCAAGATCGCCTTTAGAATTTCTCTCACTGAAGGGGTTTGGACGCACAAGCAAGGCGAATCTAGCACATCAACAGATATATGGCATTTCTTGAAAATGAGTATGCTACTTTATTTAAATATCATTCTCAAGGCAGCCCTCCCTCCAATCATGGTAGCAGATCTTATGTCCTTGTATTCTGACTGGAAAAATCGACCGAGTCTCCCGTGGTGTCACCACTGATGATGATCTGGGTGTCGTTCTCTGACCACTCTTCTCTTCTACCTCGCAACATTGGCATCTCGATTTGTTGCCTTCAGTGCATTGGATCATGGAAGATTCAATGTGTGATGTCCGACAACTGCAGCATGTCCAAATCCAGTCCGCCTTTTCCTTTTTCCGCCGTCGTAACTGTGAACTCCCTTCCCTGGACACGATGACATTTGGCTGCTCCAGCCAGCTTCCACATAGGGTTTTATAGCCTGAAATGAAATCGGGCATGATTGCTAGAAGTGGTTGATCAGTTCTTGATAGCAGGAAAAGGTTTTATGTAAATGAATTGTTGAGTTTGTCCCAGTCAAAGATGCGAGGTCGCGAGACGAGCTTTCATAATGCAACAATGATGGTTGTTCTGAGCATCACTGAGGAATACTTCGAGTGACTGATGCCTTGTTCTACCGATAAACCATTCACGGTAAGATCCAGATGTGTTAATCACTGTTTCAGCTGAGACCTGTCGCTGAGAGCTTATATTCACCACGCAGAACTTAGTGTTATTCGCTGTTGATTGATAGTTAGAGCTTATGACACCTCAACGAGACATATCAAGCCAACACACGGAAAAGTCCCAGTTAACTCAAGCTTCCAGAAGGCAATACGCATATGTTATTTGCTGTCAAAACTTATCACCAAGAGCTTGTAATTGCTACATAGAACTTAGAAACTTGGCCCTATGTTAATAAAAGTATATAAAATTTATATTTTATATAGTTTTCTAAAAATTAAATTAACTAATCTTTTTAGTTAATTATTCTATTTAGAGATCTTTATTAAAATTATCTGATGAAGAATTATAATATTCGGGAAATACTTTAGGAAAGTAAAACAAATAATAAAAAATATCTAAACAGAATATCCAGGTTAAATATTCTGTCCCTGAATATTATTTAAGTCGACAATGTCCATACCTGAATACGCTGTCACGGAGTACGCCGGCCTCCATGCTGAATTGCTCCTGATCCTCAGGCTCAGGAATTACCGTTTACATGTTCTAGTTAGACTTAATGTCAGGTATTTTAAGCTTGAACTCAGTACTGCCTGTAGTCGATGTCGTATTATAAAAGTCCTCCTCACTCACAATCCCACATCCACTTGTTAAGTAAACATAAAACTAATTACAAAACTACCTGATGTCTCTTTTAAGAAGACTTGATAAACATACAAGTGTCTTTCCATGGATATACCGGTATTGATTGAGGCTGCAAAGCCTTATTCAACAGCGGGCTATGCCAGCCAGATACTATGGTCCCCATGACCGGAGCTTGGCTTATAAGCCTGTATATCTTATAAACCTAAAAAACGACATATATTTCTTACCTAATATGATGCTAAATATTGAAAATCGAACAAACTGAAAGCTTCAAAAAAAAAAAAAAAAAAAAAAAAAAAAAAGGCATGCAGCGGCAGAAACTTCAGCATTACAAACCTCTGGCGCGTATTAAAGCCAGTATTATGCAAAGAAAGACGAGCAAATACTCTGGGCATGGACATACTGTGGCTACTAGATAATTAGCATTCCTATGACTCATCTTAAATACCCTGAATGAAACAAAGCATGCCGTTAATATTGCAATCTCTATAGGAAAGTCAGCTAGGGAATGAATCTCAGATTAAGAGAAAAGCCAGTATTAGATAGCATATTTACCGTTTCTTTTAAATCTTAAAATTAGTATCAATCCCAGCCAGAGACCAAGATATACTTTCTTTTAGCTTGGTGATTATTCAGTGGAGAAATCTGGGTGTAGAAACCCCCTATTCATTTCAGATGTATGTTAAACCTTCGCGATGAATTAATGCCGGGCATTCTGAGAATGTCACTGTGACTGGGATATTTTACTCCCAAGTAGTAACTGATCTTGACGCCCATTCGCGCTGAATCAAAGTGATGAATAATGCCTGGAATTATAAAAATGTTACTTTGCCCGGTATGGGTGAATCCTAAGTGAGAGGCACTTGATAACTGACCTAGATGCATGTCTGCACTGATTCAAAGCAATGGAATGGTGCCTGAAATTCTAAGTATGTCACTGTGCCTGGTATTCGCGAATATCAAGTGAGAGGCATCTGATAACTGACCCTGAGGCGAGTCCGCACTGATTCAAAAAATTGAGCAGAATGTTCGAGATGCGAGGTTACACTGAATATGGTCAAAGAAAGGAAATCTGAGATGGTTCGATTCAGCATGCAGAGGATCTGCGAGATATAAGAACTCACTTTTCCTATTAATTATTCTCATTAGCAAGCACAAGCTTTCCTATGTTAAGTTCATCAAGCCACAACTCAATTAACAAAAGCATCAATGGTAAATAAATTTTCCGGCTCCAATGCGGCAAGTATCTGTTACTTCTTTTCTTCTATATTGCTCTGCAACTAACATAGAGATTCCAGGAGCCTACACAAGAGGAATATGTCTGGGTTTGGTCATGCTGTGTCTGTTCAACGTCAAGAAGGCCAGGTCTTTTATTAAGGTAAACAAATCATATAATCTACTGAAGAAAGACATATTAATAATATCTAGGACCTTTTTGCAGCCATGCTTATAAGTTATACCTCTTATAAATATCCAAGAACAGATTTAGCTAACAGACTCATATCAGACAGAAGAAGGAGGAAAAGATGTTGACAATGCGGCCAAAGTCGACGGCCTTGGGTGCAACCGCACACCCAAGTCTGCAAAGCTCTGCGATCATGAGTTCACAGCGAATGGCGCATTTGCTTTGGGGGAAGAGATCACACTGTTCAAGGGAAAGATGGACATGGCACAAACCAAGAAGACGACTGCGAGGGCCTGCGCTTAGGATGAGAAAAGATAAACTCCTCAAACTTTAGGCTCTGTTCATATAAACTCCCATAAATCTGGTCTAGCCTACTGCTGGTCTTGCCTAAAGCTGGTCTAAAACTACCGTAACCTGCCGGTCTCATGTTGTATGCCCTGGGCGCATGAACTTGTCGGGTGGATCAGATGAACAGTTAAATTTTGTATATTCAGGCTTTGCCGTACCTCTCCCTTCCTCGTAGATCTATATCCAATTACAATCTCTATTTATACACCCGACTCCCATGTAGTGATCTCCAAACTGTAGACATGGGGAACTGAAACGCCAATCTGACATTGTAAAGCACAAAACTCCAGCACAAAAAAAAGAAGAACCTTCTACCAAGGCATACCGTTTTGCTTGATCAGATCATCCTCGGAAGTCTTGAAGCTCTCCGACTCCTTGAGGAACTGCTTGTGGAAAGTCTCGAGGAGAACACCAGGGAAAACAGCACCGACGGCCTGGACGAGACGATCCTCCTTGCCGATCCAGACGTGCTTGATGAACTTTCCGTCGCAGCCTGAGCGGCTCTCGGGAAAGCCGTTGGCCTCGGTACAAGGCAGGGAGAGAATCTCATCGGGATACTCGTAGCGGATGAATGTGCCGAAACCGCCCTGGTCAGTTGGTTGCCAGCCCTTTCGGTTGCGGAACTCAGTGCAGCCGGGGAATTTGCCGCCATCGTTGGCACAGTCATCCCACTCCTTGAAGATCTCGTATGTCTTGTTCTTGTTCTGCATGATCATGAAACCGGTGTTCAGGAACAGGTTTCCTCGTCGGTCGCGGTTATGCTGGGTGTCGGGATCGTAGGGGAGGGCGAGGGAGTTGTTCTGGGGAGAAATGCTCCAGTAGTTCATGAGCCACTCGAGGGGAAGGTCGAGACGGTTGAAGAGAGCGTCGGAGTCGATGAAGACACAGACGTCGTGCTTCTTCAGAACCTGCGAGAGGACGGAGGGCTTCTTCCATGAATCGCGACGGTCGGGGTAGCCGTTGATCTTGATGTGGTAGTACTGGTAACCGTGGATCTTGGCTATTGAGACATTAGTACGCAGCGAGCGCTGGGGGCGGGGGAAGCGAAGGACGTACAGTAGACCCAGTGGTTCAGTGTGCCACCGGATGGGCCGTGGACTTCTCGACTCTTGTTCCACGTCATTTCATCGGACCAGATCTGGCCGGGCTTATCGAAGCGACGACTCTCGAGGTCGATGATGCAGAGCTTCTTGCCGAGGGGCTTGGTCCAGATGGGCTTGTCGGAGGGAAGCTTGGAGGGCCAGTGGCCGTAGGGGTAGTATTCGGGGTCGTTGACCTTTACGGCGGGCTTGATCCATTGCTCAGGTGTGAAGGCATCGAGGTTAGGACCGGTGGGCGCTTCGGGAATGGCGGGAGCTTCAGGTGTTTCTTCGACTTCGGTTTCGGGGACGAACTCTTCTTCATGCTCATGGACGTGCTCATGTTCGTGCTCCTGCTCCTGCTCCTGCTCCTGCTCAGCGGCGGGCGAAGCAGCGGCGGGAGTAGGAGAGGCATTCGCAGCAAGCTCCTCAGCCTCAGCAATCTCCTCAGGATCGCTGGGCTCCTCCGCGGGATCAGCCTCAGGCTTATCGGGCGTGACAGCATGGTGATGCTCCTCGGGCTTCGGCGTCTCAGCTACGGCCTCAACAGCGGGTGTCGCGCCGATCTCTTCATCTTCGCTGGGTACGAAAGTCGGGGCAGCAGCGGCGGCTTCTTTCTCGGGAACAAAAGGCGCGGGCTCGTCGCTGTTAAAAAAAAAAGAAAAATTGTCAGATAAAGTTTATGGCTGCGAAAAGAGGGGGAAATGGAAAGGCTTACACTCCGCTCTTTGCGGCTGGTGTTGACTCGGAGGGAGAGTTGAGGTGGAAATGCGCAAGACCGAGAAATATGGTGACGAAAACGACGGCGGCCAAGAGCACGGCTCTGTTTGACCTTGGAACGGCCATTTTCTGGCGATCGGACGATTAATTGCTGTGTGATGGATGATAAAGAATGTAAGGAAACGAATGTCAGAAAGCAAGAAAAATAAAAAATAAAGTAAAACAAGAAAGTGACAGACAGCTCAGCTCAGAGAGGGGGGGAATAAAGGAATAGAGACAGACCCCTGACTCTCTTTTTAACCAGGGGGTTCTTACTTTAGATACAGTATCTTTTTCTCTCCCTACCGTAGCGATCTTGTTGTGCTTGTCTCAGTACAGATAGCGCTTCATAACGGCTGGTCAAGGCTTGACGCCTCGTTGATCCACTGTAATCAACCTGTGACAACGCCTGAGAAGAAAGGGGGACCATGAGGCCACGGTAGTTGGGAATTAACCTTGCTGCTGTGTTTCTGATGAATTGTTATTCCGCCGATCAGATTGATGGGATTGAAGATTGTCTTCATAAGGTTATTATTAGAGTCTTTGCTCATGGTGATACTGTACTGGGCACTGTAGGTTGCACGCGATGCGGGGGTGCTTACGCTTACTCTTTGGTGTTGGTCCCTTTAATGGATCCTTTCCGCCAAGCAATTTCTTACCAGATCTCGTCACTCTTCCCGCGTGTTTCTCGAAGCGCATCGCCAGAATTGCTCTCTCGAGAGCTTTGCCATCAAGTACTGCGCTTTTTGGGTTGAAGAGCCATTCTTCTAGCACCGTCAGCACTCCCAATCTCACATCATCACCATTCAGCGCTTGATCATGTGCCACTACATCGAAAATTACAACCTAAATCTAAACTTTGAATGTTGCAGGGCTGTAACTCTGTTTTCCTCCTCCCGAAACTGCCGTCGCTAGCATCAGACTCAACGGTCGGGCGCCACGATTTGAGCCAAACCAGCCCTCTGCCTCAACAACGCCCCTCAAATGTCCACTGCTGTCGCCAATTGATGCTTCACAGTTCAGTCGTTGAATAGGAGAAACATTCTCCTCTATCGATTACTTCTATCTTCATTTGAGCTGCAAAAGAGGGGGCTCCTTGCTACAGCACGATTCCTCAGCTGAAGCTAAAGACGCCACTTGAAACGGGTTTTAATTGGATGGCTGCTGGGCTCCGCCCCCTTGCTTTGACGATGATGCTCATGGCTGGGAGTCATTCCTGTAGGAATATCCGTACTCCGTACTCTGAGCCTTATCATTTCGGCACTGTCAATTCTCCAATTGTAAGTTTCAAGAAAAACAACTGCTGCAGTGCTCTCCATCTTCAGTGACTGTCGCGATAACCTGATCCGATGGCCAAGTCCCGATAAACCCCTGGACTAGCCCTGTCTTCGTCCTCAGATTCTGATCCCTGTCACCTGAAAACGCGTTCTGTCAATAGCGCGCCCAGCCGCCAATCAGCGTCCGACTATCTGTCCCACCCTAGACTAACGATGTTTTGGGCCATGGTCCCTCCACGCTATCGATTTGTTTCAACTCCTTTTTGTCACGCTATTGAAGCTATCGCCAGTTTTTGCGGCGCTGGTTCAGGGGCAAATAATTTTTGTACAGAGTTTGTGGCTCTTTAGTCTCAGGTACTAGCAAATGTCATTTTCATAGCATTACAATTCCTTGTTTATTGCACTGCGGGCTTGTGATTTGTAAGGCTTCAGTGGCCAACGTGACTCTGGTGAAGGGCCATCCATATATACTTGACGAACACTTATGGTGCTTTTATCAGCCTTGGCCCCAGCGGATCGAAGTCTGGCGCTTGCTTTTTCACAACCAAACTGGTACGCTAGCAACAGTGCTTGGTCAAGAAGCTCCTGTCTTGTGCGACTCCTCCTGGATTTCTTGTTCCCTCTCTTCGCGGCGTGATCAAGCCATGAAATGAGCACTTCGATGGCTTTGACATTTTCTCTATGAACAGCAATATCGAGTGGACTTCTCTGGTGGGTGTTTCGGGCTTTGTACGAGGCACCCTTCTCGAGAAGCATTTGTACATGCTCAGAGACTCCAGTGGAACAGGCTCGATGGAGAGGGCTCATCCCGAATTTATCATAGGCGTTGGCTGCAAGGCCAATCTTGATGAACTTTTTGAGAAGACCATCGTGCTTGTACCTGACGCTGAGATGGAGACAGGTTTGCCCAAAACCATCAATGGCTTTGAAGTCTGCACCACGTTTCAAGAGAAGTCTTGCTGTTTTGACCGAAAGGCATCGAATAGCTTCATGCAGTGGCGTCATACCATTCTCGTCCCTTGCGTTTATTTCCCCACCAGCATCAAGGAGTGCAATCATTGCAGATGCGTTGTCATTGATGCTAGCATAGTGTAGAGGCGTTCGTCTGTTGCCATCTCTGGCGTTTGTCATACCTTGTCGCGAACAGAGGAGCTTGCTGACTAGTGAACCCTCAAACCATATAGCAACAAGATGGAGCAGCGTGGCCCCGTCCCTGGTTCTTCCGAGCTCTCTATGCGACGTGTCAGTCAAATACTCAACCCCCTTCCTCCATCCAACCTGCGCTGCAAGGTGAGCTGGCGACATGCCGCGCTTGTCCTTCAGGTATGGGTCTGCTCCAGATATTACCAGCACTTCTAGTGCATGTATATTTCTGTTTGAAGCAGCTATATGCATTGGCGTTAGACCATCTCGGTCTTGTGAACTGAGATCTGATATACTGTAACACGAGAGATCAAAGCGGTCCAAGTCCCAACCATGCTCCATAATCCAGTGAAGCATATTCCGTCCTTGATGATCAAACTTGAGGGATTTCAACTTGTATTTCCGTTGGAGCAGATGTACCATATCCTCCCAGTCCTGACTTGCGCATAGATGGAGTAGATCATATCGATCAGAAGCGCCTCTTAGCAAGAGTCCATATGTTGGAAGACGGTCAATGATCCACGCCAACTTTTCCTTGCGCCCAAAGTAGGCGTAGTGCGCAAGTGCATTCATTCTGGATTCTTGGTCAACCAGGAAAACCTGGTAATGATCCTCGCGAAGAATTCGTTCCTCCATGTTTGTCCAACCATGGACGCCAGCCCACAGAAGTTGTGAAGTCCCGTACGCTTGCCTGGTAGATGGGGGCTTTGGCTTTTCAGTCATGTCCAATATCCTCAACAGAAATGGTTCCCATATCTTGTGTCTGAAAGCCATAGAATAAGGAGATTCTTCCATATCAGCCTTGAAATATATATTCACACGAGGGTGGTTAAGTAACTTATCAGCCCCCTGAATATTCTTGGAAGAGATCGCAACGTGAAGCGGAGTGCCATTATCGCCAACTGCATTGACATCGATGTTTGTAAATTCAAGGAGCCTCTCCATATAAAATGTGTCTTCGATACAAGAGGCTGCGTGATGTATAGAAGCCCGTTGTCGGTAAGCATGATAGTTAACTTCGATCTCATTGCTTTCGAGCAGGGCTTGAAATGAGTTTCTTCTTCGGCATATGATAGACCATGAGAGAGGTGTGACGGTGCCAGCGAGGTAGTTTATGTTGACTCCACGACGGAGAATAGCGCCGACAAGGCGTGGCAAGTCACCCAAAGCAATAACTCTGAAAAGAGTCATCGTCCGAGAACTCTCCAGTGGCAGATGAGCAGCAGGATACCTCGAAAGGTACGGCATTTTACCACCATCGTCCTTTGTCGGTAACTGGTACCACAGCAGATAGCATAAGCATCCATTCATGGTACTTAGAAAATTTATAATCTTGACGTCTTGTTCAACTGACGGCGAAGCTTCTTTGTAGTGCTGGAACCAATTCCGAACGGCATACGCAAGACAAGAGGTCTTGGACATACTGTCGACATGTGAGTTTGTTAGTTCGTCAATTTGTGTGAGTTGTTCGTGATTTGGCACGAGACCAGAGAATGTTTCGCGGAGAGAACGGAGGGCTTCGGTCATGGCTCCGTACGTTTCCAGCCAACTCTCAGGACTGCGTCGCTCCAAATGCATGGTTTTCAAACAGATATTAAGCATGATTGATTGACCTTCAGAGTTTGACACTGTTAACTCAGAGATAATCGATTGATTTCTTGGGGAGTGCATGGCCAAGCTCATTGACAGCATGTCTTTGACAGAGACATGAACGAACTGAACTGAGTTGTTGTCGATCTTGACCATGTACTCGCATGCTTGAACCAGATACTCTCCAAAGTCTGCAGCCTGAGCTTTAAGCTCTTCCAGGTCTTCATCTTGTTCAATCCCCTCCATATCAACCATTACTGCCATGGTAGCAAGCTGGGTTGGAGAAATACTTTCTTTACAGAGTCGAAGGATGGTAAAAGCAATCTTTGCCTTTTGCCTGTACCGGCTCGAAATATTGCTGAGAAGTTGACAATAAAAGTCAACTAGATCATCGGATGTCTTGTCAAGCCCGGTGAGCGAAGCCTTGACCTTGTCCCGAGTCCATTGGACGGTACCATTCGAAAACTGTTTCCAAGCCAAGGTCGCAAAGAGGAAGTTCCCTTGAGCCTTCTTGACTATCTTTGCTTCGATGGTGGAAGCCATAGATAACGATAATTTTGATTCCTGGAGGCTACTGCGAACTTTCATTTGAACGAACTCATCGACGTTCTTTCGGGTATTCTCGTTGTCTATGCTGATCACAGCAGCATCTGTGCGCTGTGGAAACCCATATGGGGGCTGCTCGCGATGGGATAGCAACATCCTTACACGACCGCTGGCATCGCTTTCGACAAGATCGCGTAGTTTATCCACTATAGTCGGTGGGCTTTCATTATGTCGAAGAGCTTCATCCATGGCGTCGATGACCAGTTGAAATATGATACCTCGAGATCGCTTGACTATTGTCTGAAAGCATTCCCAAAGACTCTTCTCGGTGTCTGGAATCTTGCTCGGATCGAAATCGAGGTACCTAATGACACTAGCACATCGTGAGTCACCTAGTATCTGGTCAAGAACTGATCGGATGAAAGAGTCCGATGTCTTCCTCTCAGGATCCTTGTCATCAAAAAAGAAGGATATCGGTTTCCAGATTACTGGAGAGGAAGCAATATCGCTTTGACTGTTCAGGAATTCAACGATGCTCTTCATAAGTACTGTCTTGCCTGATCCAGGAACACCATATAGCCAAAGTGTTTGTTGCCGCCCTTGAAGTAATCTCCAAGATTTGAACTCAGGAAGTTCCAAAAACCACCTTGACGACCGAGTCCATCCTCCCGGTATCTTGCTTAGGACAGTATCATGGTCAACAGCTCTGAGCTTGGAGAGAAATTCGCGTTGGGATGAATCAAAGTCTGTAACGAGCCAACATCAGTTGGATTGCCGTACAAGCCACATGAAGCTTGTGCTATTTCTACCTACAAGGCTGTTCTGAAGTCTCAATCAAGCTATCCATCAACTCCTCAATACAGTTGAACACAGTCCGATAGCAAGAGTCAGAGGGCGTCAGGTACTTGCACAAACCCCTATGATCAGCTTCCATAGGTATCGGAGTCTCGTTGGGGAGATGCAAAATGGCAGAAAATTCATCAACGACCTAAAAGCATAAAATCAGAACATTTGAATACTCAAAAACTACCAGTCAACCTACCAGAGAACCTAAGCCAGAAGTTTCATGCCTCTCATAAAGACTGAAGATCTGAAGCCTCATGCCTCGCTCGACAAATTGGGAGCAGATGGTCCCGAGTTCAGTGGACTTTGGGGCAAGGGCTTTCAGTAGATCCTCGCGCATCTTACCAGCAGTCAAAACGTTGGCAAACTTGGCTAATAACTTGGACCAGTATGCAATATCGGCCCCTCGATGAGGTGTTCCGAGGAAGATGACACCCGCCACTGCTTCCTTAATCGAACCATAACGAGTTTCTTTTTCGTGCGCAATTACAAGCGCCTGAATGACAAAATCAGCTCTCATTCGCTCCGAATCAATCATCCGTCGTGCTAACCTGTTTGAACACGATGCCCCCAAGACTATGACATACGAAGATCATTTTTCGCTGTTCAGACCATTAGCCTAAACCAAAACTGACGATTCTTGAGGAACCAGGATGCTCAGGGTACTTACGTCTGCTTCTTTGTTCCTGCGCCGAAACGTGCGGATTTCTTCGAGGAGCGAAGTTGCAAAGTCTCTAATGTTAGACTTGGACTGCGTAAAAGCGACGCCAGCATTATATCCAAAGGTCAAAACTCGAGCAGTTGGAACATCGTGAGGGAGAAAGTCCCTAAGCCACAGCTTCTCCCCTTCTCTCCAAGTCTTATAGGCATGGCCTCCGAGCCCGTGAATTGCAACAAGACTTGACGGGGCAATTAAGTTAGCAGCGCATGAGCAAAATGGACCCGACTACCTACTCTACTTCTGTCTGGATATGTGAGGCGCTCTCGAGGTCTGGATCAGGCCATAGCTGAATTAGCCCAAGCACTGGTGTTTCAACAACGGGTTTCGGTTGTCCCGTTGAGGCCCCGCTGTGAACTAATTGACTAGCTCCCGAAGCTTCAGGCACCGGGTTCGACCCTTGAGCGCTATGCTTTGTCCTGGTGTGCAGACGCTTCATCTGAACTCAAGCTGTCCGTCCCACAAGTAGCAACAGAGATCACTTATTACACCTGTCGACGTTTGCAGAGAATGCGAAATGCCTCAGCTCAGCCTGCATTGGGCGGTCTCTCACGGCAGAACCACATATGCGTCTCGGCATCGAATGAGAGGGTACTAAAATAGTGAAGCTGCTCAAGTGTCTAACATAACTAACGTCAATCTTACCTATGATATGCTATATAGGAAGTGTGATCTATGTTGCTTCCTTTTCTTTGATAGGCATTTCCACGGCAATTTTCTGACAAGTCTAAGTTAATGTAAGCCATATTGATATCTCGGCAGAATAGATCAAAACAACACAGCAAAAATAACATCTCGATTGCAATACGCTGGAGATATGGCATCAAAATCTGTCAACATAGCTATCGAACAATCTGAAACAGGAGCTTACTCAAGATCTTGTTTCGCATCGCCATCCTTATCATTTAACGCTCGTGTTTCCCATATAAACAAAACATGCTAGGAGCACAACGCACCATCTGCCGGCCCAAGCTTTCACATACCCACTAAACTCAATAAACATCTGGCATATAAACTGGGATAGATGTCCAAAATGCCGTGAGAACTCTCCATACTCAGCTGTTTCCAAAATGCTGTTCAAGATATCTTTGCTTTCGGCATTATTGCCCTCGGTGATGGCAGCTGCAACGACATGCAAACTGCCAAGAACCGATGCCCACTTTAGTGTTGGACATGGGTTTCAGGACGACTGTATTTCTGGAACGGGTACGATCCAGGGTTACATGATCTTTGTCGATTTTTCCGACGCTCAATCACCAGCTTCTGAATCCGTCAAAGAGCTTCGCGATCTTCTTGTACCGGATGCAGCAAAATGGTACCAGACGGCCAGCTACGGCCAGCTTGAACTCAATATCACGGCCGATACTTCCAAGTTCTACCGCATGCCCAAATCTGCAGCATCGTATAGATGGGCAGAAGGCTTCGGCGCTGAACAGCATCTATCTTATATCCAAGATGCTCTTGACGCATATACAAGCAACGGCGCGAGAGCACCCCCTGCCGAGACGGACATTCTCTACATCGCGACAACACGCAACAACGACAAGATGACCCGATCACTCGGATCCAGCTTCAGTGTCTCAACACGAAATGGGAAACTCGTCTCCAGAAGAGCTGTCACTTTCGGCGCCGATCCCTACATCTCGTGGGGCTATAAGGCGGTCAATCATGAGACAGGACACTCGATGTGTTTGCCCGACTACTACCCTAATACCCCGGACCTGCCGACTGGCTACTACACTGGAGGATGGAGTATCATGGGAAATGTGGGAGGAGTAGCGCCTGATTTCTTTGCTTGGGATAAATGGAGACTTGGATGGTTGGCCGACGAGGCCATTGACTACGTTCTTGAACGTGGCACGACAAAGCATACGTTGACTCCCGTTGAAATTGAGGGTGGTGTCAAGGCTGTTGTCGTTGCTCAGAGCGACACTTCTGCTTTGGTTGTTGAGGCTCGTGTTGCGAAAGGCGTTGATGGAAATATTTGCGCACCGGGAGTTCTTCTGTACACCGTTGATACAACGCTAGCCACGTCGGAGGGTTCGATCAAGGTCTTGGATGCAACGCCCGGATCGAACGGCTGCGGGGATGACAATGGCGCGGAACCATTGAACGACGGGACTTTGTCGATGAATGGGAAGAAGTCGTTTGAGGCCTCGGATTGGGGAGTCAAGGTCACGTTGATTGATGACAAAAATGACCAGTTCAGCATCGAAGTTCAGTACTCTTAGAATAGCTCAGCCAGCGTCACATTGCAGGCGAGAATTTGGGGAGAAATACACATCACTTATTGGCTGTACCATCTTGACCTGCAGAATAGACGACATTCACTTTACCCACGAGTCGTGAACTCCGACGGGATTTACGATCATGACTGGTTATAATCATGACGAGGGTAGTATCGGCCAAGTCCCCTCGGCCAATTCCAGGTCCATGGTTCCATCACTAGTGGTCGAGCTGCCAATTACGGTCCGATCACAAGAACCTTAACGGCCCGTTTGTGGTTCCCCATCGATATATCCGGGGTTTCAAGTCTCCCGATGTTTTGCCATCCAAATTTCCAAAGGGTCCCCGCATGTTGTTTATTTGCGATTCCCCATGGGGAATACTCTTGCGTGCATCATTCGACTACGACTCAGCGAAAGGCGAACGGCAGTTGACTTCGGCAAACGTGAATATTCGGAATTGTGGTCGAAATAGGGAATGGCATGGTTGTAGCGTGGTATCCTGGTTATAATATACGTGATGCATTGGGGATTTTGATGGATTTTATGGGAATTGTTCCGCATGACGTTTCTGTTATCCGCTCAATGGCACTCTAGCCGGAGCTTTGGTCAACGGAAAGACCAAGACCGTGATTATACCAAGCCCGTGGCAATAAATAAATAATCTCGAGTTCCACTGACGAGATGGTTCTGAGACTTGAGAAGTGTCACGCCGAGCCTTCTTTTCACCATGCCTTCTCTCTTGAAATTGGTCACTGCGGTCGCCCTTCTCACTGAAGGCGTTCTTGGACGACAAGCACCTTCGGTGCGAGTCAAGAATGGTACTCTTGAGGGCAAATATGTCGCTGGATTAGATCAAGACCTCTTCCTCGGTGTTCCCTTTGCTCAACCTCCTGTCGGCCAACTTCGTCTTCAGAATCCTCAGCCTTTGAACGAGACTTTCAAGGTCAAGAAGGTCATCAAGTATGCTGACTCTTGTGTTGGCTACGGTGTGAGTTTCTCTCTCATGTTCATGTGAAGCCTCACTGACATTGTGTAGAACAGCCCTGATCAGGGTCCTGCGACCTTCAGCGAGGACTGTTTGACTTTGAACATCGTCAGACCCGCTATGTCCAAGGGCAACAAGAAGGAGAAACTCCCAGTTGGTGTCTTTATCCACGGTGGAGGTTGGACCATGGACTTTAGCGCCAACGGCGTTTATAATATGAGCTTCATGGTAGAGGAGTCCGTCAAGATGGGCAAGCCCTTCATCGGAGTCTCCGTCGATTGTAAGCCGACCACCTAATGCCAATTAGACCTCTTACTAACAATCAACAGACAGACTTTCCTTCTGGGGTTTCATGGCCAGCAAGGACATCCTCGATGCCGGAGTTGCTAACCTCGGCTTGAAGGACCAGCGCATTGCTCTGCACTGGGTCAAGGAGAACATCGCTGCCTTTGGCGGTGACCCTTCAAAGGTCACCATCTTCGGTGAGAGTGCCGGTGGAGGCAATGTCGGCTACCAAGCCATGGCTTACGGAGGCGTTGACGAGGGGCTATTCCGTGGTATTATCGCCGAATCTGGAGCTGATGGGACGGACATGAAGAACTACACCGCACCTCAGCAGCGTTACGACACTATCGTCAAAGCAGTTGGCTGCGACAAGGAGTCCGATAAGCTTGCTTGCCTCCGCCAAGTCCCCTTTGAGAAGCTGAACGCCACGAGCACCAAGATCCAGGGCAGCTTCTACCCTGTCGTTGACGATGACTTTGTCCCCGACTATCCCTCCAAGCTTCTCGCCAACGGAAACTTCACCAAGGTGCCTCTCATGGCTGGAACCAATGCTGACGAGGGTAGCTTCTTTGGCATGCCTGGTGTCGACTCCACTGAAGAGGCTGTTGCTCGCCTTCGATCAACTGGACTTGATGCCGATACCATTGACACACTCTTGGCTCTGTATCCCAACATCGATGCTCTCGGAATCCCCTCCGGTTACCGCTACAAGTCTAGTGATCCTGTCAAGAAGCAGTATAAGAGATGGGCTGCTCTGCAGGGTGACCAGCTCTTCATGTCGTGGAGACGTGCACGAACTGATGCTTGGTCTAAGCATAACGTGACTTCATATGCGTACCTGTTCGAGTCCCCCAACACCAACATGCGTAAGTATATCCCTCATACACTTGGGCTGATTTGTGTTGATTGACATGGACTCTAGCCGACTATATCGGAACTCCTCACTTTGTCGAGGTCGCTTACGTCTTCTACAACTTGCTCGGCCAAGGCTACGGCAAGGGTCAAGGCCCTCTTGTCAACGCATCAAAGGAGGTTCTCGACCTCGCCAAGCTTGTGAGCCATATGTGGATCAGCTTCATCACCGAGCTCAACCCCAACGAACACGGAAGTAAGTTTTTTATGTCCACTACATGTACGATATCAAACTAACCTTTGCAGTTTCCGGTGTTCCCGAGTGGCCTGTTTTCAACAATGGTGGCGGCTACGGCGAACACTTCTACTTCAATCCCAATGGATCGGTGGCCCAGCCTGATACTCTCCGGCTCGCTGGTACTACGTTTATGAACTCGGTTTCTGCTGACCAGTATGGAAGATAAACCTGAAAGGGATTCTCTCTTACTTTCTTCACTTACATAGTTGACAATCACCTATGAATTGGGGCACAAATCTAAACATAGTATCAATATCAGAATAATTTCAAAAGCGCTCTATCCGCAGTGACATCCCGCCGCGGCAACATCTTATCGGCAAAGGCACGGTTCAGAGAGAGGTCGTTTTCATTTATTTAAGGTTCAAGGCTGCATTAATGGATGTTACATTGAAGACTATCGAAAGCTTGTCCAAAGAGTCAATCAACATACGCGAACAAGATACCCTGGGCATTTAAGCGCACCCACCAATGACGAATTGAGTTTATACCAGGGCTCACCACGAGCTATTGCTACCTAGTCGCGGCGTGGCGTTGATTAAGACGATGAGATTCGGGAGGATCACCCTAGCCTGGAGTATAAATCGTACGACTTTGCATGGGCAAATATAATGATTGCAGGTGAATTACTCAGCTTGTTGTGTTGATCGATGGGCAATTAATCAGTTCATATCGTGGCATCAAGCCCTCTATAGACACGAGAACTATTGTTGGTTGACAACGGCTTAGCGTTTGTGCCAGCAGGTTATTGATGCACGCTTTGACAGGATCCTTGTCATGACAGCAAATCAAAG